AAATCATCCTGGTGCCCATCCTACCCTATCCTCAGGTACTCACTCTTTTATTGCTCAAATTTGTTGCATGTTTCATAGATATCTTATGGAGTCAACATTCCTTCCAACTTGGCAGAACTGGTTATGAATGCTAGTTACACACAGTCTCCAGACAGCCTTGTGTGGAGATACTTTTATGACCTTAAAGGTACATAGTATATTATTTCGTAAAGACTTTTTAGTTGAGTGTTGATATATGTGATCACATAGATGCATTGGGCTGAGATGTGACATATTTTTTTTTGATGCTGGTTCACAGTCAAGAGAAGTTTGAAAAAACACATTTATCAGCAGAATAGGAAATGTGAGAAGAGGCTCAGAAACAAAAGGGATTGTGAAAAAAGATTTCAGAGTGTGAGGGGTATGTGTTGGGCTGGGGGCTGCAGGAGGGGCAGATAGGAAAGGAAGAGTCCAGTCATGCAGGTTTTAGAAGCCCGGCTAATGAGTTTATACTTTATTTTGATGGAAAGAAGGGCAATTAAGAGGTTTTAAGTAGGACAGTGACACAATTAGGTTTATTATTATTATTTTCTATATTTTTTAAATTGGGATATAATTGACATACAACATTATACTAGTTTCAGGTGTACAGCATAGTGATTCAATATTTGTCTGTATTGCCAAATGATCACCACAATAAGCCCATCACTATACATAGTCACAGAATTTTTTTCATCTAATTAGAACTTTTAAGATCTACTCCCTTAGCAACTTTCAGATATGCAGTGCAGTATTATTAACTAGTCAGCATGCTGTACATTACATCCCCATGAGTTATTTATTTTATAACTGAAAGTCTGTACCTTTTGACCCCTTTCACCCATTGCACTTGCTACCCCCTGCCTCTGGCAACCACATTTTCTTTATCCATTCCTCCATGCATGGGCATACTGTGGCTATTGTAAACAACCCTGTGGTGAACGTGGGGGTATGGGTATCTTTTCAAGCCAGTGTTAATTTTGTTTTTTGTAGTGCTGACCGATCCACCTGCATTGTGGAGAATGGACGGGAAGATGAGAGGCAGAGGAATGAGTTGGGGGCTCCCACAGTCCCTCAAGTAGGGGATGATGGTGGCCTGCACTATGACAGCTGTGAGAGGGAGAGAACTGCTGCGAAGAACAGAGAAGTGAAAGAGGTGGGGCTGACAGGAGCTAACTGACTGACTTCAAGGTGAGGTAGAGGTTGGTGTTTAGGAGGACTCTCACATTTCCTAGTCAGCTCTCCTGAGTTCAACAGTCCAACTTAAAAGGGTCACTCTGTGAGAAGTTCCAGGAGAACTCGGAAGGTAGGGTAGTATCTGGCCGTATCAGGTCAATACTGGGGGCACATCGGCCAGCAATTCTCACCAGATAAGTGTTCTGTGATTACAGAAGAGCTGTGTACTTTACTGGGACTGCAGTTGGCTCTCCTTTTGTAACCATTTGAAGTATTTTATCATATAATTGTTATTTTTTAATTTCATCTGACTCAGGTTCAAAAGAATATCGATTTCCAGGAGGAATAATACAACTGGCACAATACTGGAAAAAATGGAAGTGAACTAAGGAACAATGAGAACATTTTTAGTGAATTCCTGAATCAGGTAATAGAGAAAAATGTTTTAATGCTCATTAAGATGGATGAAATATAAGCTCTACATTGGATTCAGCCTTCTTTTGGACAAAAAGAAAAGGAAAGATCTAGTCAAACAATGAATGATTTGGTCAATGTGAACTATTAATTGAGGCCTCAGTGTGGATTGGGAAATTGAACTTCCCAGCATGGATGTTTACATTAATGAAAAGACTGGATGTTTGTGAAACTTCTCCTTCCATGTGTTTTAAGTGCTCAATTGGCTTTATTGCCTAATGACTTAAGAGCACAGCTACAACATCAAATTCCCTGATTCAGATCCCAGTTCTGCCACTGCTGCGAGCCTACATAAACTAGTCACCAACCTAGATTTAATTCCATCACCTGCAAAATGGGCAGAATGACACCACCAACCTTGAAGATTGTTATAAGGAACAAGTGACATAATAAATGTAAAGGACATGCAAATTGCATGTTCACAGTGAAGGCTCCATAAATAGTAGTTATTGTTATGATTATGCGAATTGTTAAGTTACTGAGTAGGATGATGACTAAATAACTGGATTTCATTTTTTTTCTCAAGCATCAAAATGCCCTCACTTTGAGGACACTTAGAGTTTATAACAATGGATTACGACAACCACATTTTCATTTCAATGCAAATGAAATGGGATGTGTAATAATAAGTGGATGTGCAAAGGTCATTTCTCTGTGAACAGTGTTTTCAACTTTACCTAGTAACACAGAAAGAAGCAAATGGGAGGTATATCTTTGTTTTGGTTCAGGTATTGGTAACATAAAAGGACTTGGTGCTAATGGCATTCTGGGTAGTTTCCACAGAGGATATACCATGCATGCCCTGCTAGATAGTTTCTAAGTTTAACCTTACTGTGAGACGAGGCTAGGAACATTTCAGAAGTGGTAAAGAGGTTACCACTAATGGTGGAGGGTCTGGGACAAATGCTTACATTTTCAAGTTTTCATTCTCAGGTAATACTGGGGTTTAATGTGCTGCACTTTGGGGAACATGAACTTGTTATTTGTCTCTCAGTGTAATGTGAGTGAGCGTGGCTGGGAAGGTATAAAATACATGGCCATTTATCACCTTTATCCGGGATCCTCCAGATGTAACCTGTCGTCTTGGTGGAATTATTTAATTGCACCACCTTGACTCCTCAGAGAGTCCCGGTTTGGATGATCAATTATATGGTTACCAAAAGGAAAGCCAAATGGAGTGGCATGTTACTGTGGTGATTTGGTGGTAGTTGTTCTGGACTTCCACAGGGCTCCCGGGGGGAATCTACAGTGGTATAGGCAGGTGAGACGACCTCTCTAGCTCTGACCTGCCTCAGTCTGACAGAAAGGACCAAACTGGACTGAAATTCACTTCTTAGGTCATCCAGAGCAAAAGTTTTGTTTTAGGTTTTTAGATGTGAAGGCTTTAGTAAATTAGAAAAGGGCATTGTAACCTTTCACAAATCATATTTCAGTGATCAGGTTTTATTTTTGGTGTGCTCGTGTACTCAAGCGCATGCATTTGTGCACACAATTTAGTCTGTGACTCTTTTAAGGAAGACTCTCAGGATGTTGCTTTCTCAGAAGTCTGGATTTTCCCAAGCAAATAAGAAAGTAGGGCATGGGGTTAGTAAAACACTGAGATTTAAACCCTCTGCCTAATTAGGGAACATAATTTGTAACCCTTAATTACAACATGGTGATTGATGCTCTTTTTGCATGATGTTCTGCAGTTTTGAACTCACTGCAGATTTTTGTGGAACTATGTCTCAAAAACAGGAGATTTTATGTGAGAATTTTAAGATGGATGAAATATGAGATTTAGATGGGATTCAGCCTATATTCTGCTATTTACCCTCATTAAGAAGTTTCTTTGGAACCATGTGCTTTTATTCAACTGTATTTCACTATCTATACTTATCTTGAATATTTGATTTTATTTGCTCAACTTCAGTGTACTTTATTCCCATTCATAGGTGGGCATTATTAATACATAGGGTATCTTGGAGTTTGACATTCACCTTGGAGATGTGATATTTTTCCCCATTGGAACCCAGCATTATGTTAAGAGCACGTGCAATGAGGATTTGCTTTTAATTATTGCCTTCAGCACTGGAGACCAGGTAACAGTAAGCAGCATAAGAGCAACTCCTGAGAGCCAGTGATGGGCAGATACTCTGCCAAGCAATGTGTCTGGACCTTAGGGGGCCCTAAGTAAATGAGTGTCGAATACGTGAATAAATAAATGAACTAGCTGAACCACGTGTGAAGAAGAGAATAAAATAATCTTTTCAGTTGGCTATAAAGGGACAAACATATCACACTCCCTCTTAATTCCCCAAGTTTTGAACCAACTGAGAAAAAAGCTTAAAGAGTAGTATACAGAGGTACATAAAATCATTTTTATTACTAATAAAGCAGATATTAGGGAATATAGCTAAGATATGTAGGCAGGTGGGTTTCCTAATATTAATGGCCCAAACTGGATTGGCCCTCCCTACATTGAAGCCACTCTCAGAAATGTCTGCCATTCCCTTTGAAGGGGGATAGTCCCCCACTATCCTATCAGAGTGGGTAATGGGCAACGTTTCTAAAGGGGATGTGTTTTGCATAAGGGGTACGAAGGGAAGGAGGAGAGTGGGAAGATGGAGAGAGAGGCAGAGAGAGGTAGAGGGAAACACATGCCAGAGAGACACAGAATGAAAGACAGAGACACACAGGGACACAGATACACAAAGAGAAAGAGACACACTCAGCAACATACACAGAAATAGAAAGATATGCAAAGAGAGAAAGATCTAAACAGAGGAAGACAAGCTCAGAGAGAAACAACAGAGATGCACAAATGGAAGGAGACACACAGATAGACACTCAGAGAAACAGAGACTCATAGAAGCAGAGATTCACTGTGAGACAAAAACATAGTGAGAGACATACAGAGAGACACACATGAATAAATTGAGAGAGGGTGACTGAGAAAGAGAGGCAGTATAAAAGGCAAAGAGAGAGAAAGACAGCAATAGAGAGTGGGGACAAGCACAGTCAGACCCAGCCAGCTGGACAGCCAGGCCGGACAGCAGACCCAGAGACTGTTGGCCCAGCAGAGAGAGTCCAGTCTGGCTGGGGATCATGAGGCCTTACTTAGCAATGAGGCTTCCCTCCATCATGCGCCTCTGGGCGTGGAGCTCTGAGAAGCTCTTCTGTCACTAGTCCCTGCTCATAGCAAGACAGAAGGTCCAGTTTCCTCATCATAGAGAACTACCTCTCAGTAGGATGGAGATCCTTTCTGAAGAAAGCTTCACATGTCTCAGTACCTCTAGTCATCAATCCAGCTTTTCTTATTCTCAGAGCTGAAAAGGACAGACACACAAGGTAACCACTTCACAGGAGTTTTTAACTGTGTCAAGTGACACAGCCACATACCCACCCCCAGTCTTGTAAGTGCCTTGACGGCCATAAGCTCTCGTGTTGATACATCTCTTTTTGGTTTCCACTGTCAACTGCAAAACCTTAACATGGACGGTTATCTCCAGGCCACTGTGGACCACATCCTGGCCCAGCTTTTCTTCAAGAGGCCAAGTGAGTTTAAGAAGATTCCCCAGATTCAAGGAGGACCAGGCAATCAACCTGCCTTAGATTTGCTGGGTTGGGTTCATACCTTTTCTTCCTTCTTTATTTGCTGTCACTGCTTCTGAAGAAGAAACCACTGTGTAGGCAGGAAACAGTTGTGGGGCGGCCTTAAGGCTCATTTAGGGAGTGCAATTACAGAGCCCTTCAGGCTAAGGGGACATTTCATTCCATATACTCTGTGTGGGTTAGTAGATCTATGGAGAAGACCCAGTAAATTAAATTATTTTGTATAGGTTTTAGTATTTGTGCATGTATTTATTTTCCTTTTGATACTTCAAACATTATTCTAAATGAAAACACATTCTTTTTATGTGCATCAGTCAATCTTAGTCCTATGAATGTATTTCTGTTATTCATCAGTGTGGAAGGAAGTAAGGATGTCAGCCTATGTATGTACATATTGAGACCTGGAACCCAGGAACAGCAAGTCTTGTGTGGAGAATTTCGTATAGAACCCTAGGCTGGTGAATCCCAGTCCTTTTGCTGGCTAATGCCAAAATTTTTAAGGACTCCTTCCTGCAAGTAGTTGTATGCTTACTGTATATTAGCTGAGAAAATAGTGATCAACTAATTATGAATTCAATGCCTTCTTTGAATGTATTTGGATTTGATTAATCACATCATCAACTATTTATATTTGGAAACTACTCATCTCTATATTGAGAAGCATGTGGTTTAGTGTACTGCCAGTGCTGACTGTGTGTATGGACTCAAGGACTGCTTGTCGTCACTCAGAAGCTAGGAGGGCTGGTGCTCTCCAAGCTGGGAATCATTGCCCAAAGCAGGAAAGAATTTGTTCAGAACTAACCTGTGCTTGATTTTTTTTCACAGTTTATTTTAACAGGTATTTGGTACCCCTGCACCGTGCTTGGTACCACCATCTGCTCTGGGCTACCCTATATAAAATGCTCAAGTCAGTATTGCTGATCTTTAGTGCTTCTTACCACCACCCTGTTTCAATTATTGCCCTAACACCTCTTTGGTTTTTTTAAATGTCTTAGGATATTTGTTTCTAGGCCAAAAGAATCTGTGTGTTCCATTTTCCATCTCTCTCTCTCTCTGGAATAAACAGCTCTGCTTACTACAGGTACAGAATTCAATGAGAATCAGGAATGGCTCACTTTTAGTATGAGGAAGATGCCACTGATTTAATATCCATAATCAGGTAATAAAAGGCCTGCTAGCCCTTGGAACCACTATGTCTTACTTTATTGTCCTTTCTGGGAGAGCCAACTGAGATTACAGCTTGGTAGCACTGGGAGTTTTGTGATGATGGTGGTGTTTTGAAGAGATTTTCTAGGGAGTAGGTCACCATCTAGGAGGAGGAACATGGTTAAGAAGATGAAGGGACTAGCACAGGGCAATGGGTGTATGGAAGGAGGATGTCCAGATAGAGGGGGAGACAGTCATAAAAGTAAATGGCAATGTGTATAGACAGATTTTATCTACACATTTTGGTTTTTTGGGGGAATTTTTTTAGCATACTATAAACCAATTCGTTATCCATGTTCTTATATCAGGAGGTATTGTATTAGATTATATGTGGTCATTTAATAAAGATTTTATGCATCTTTGCATATTATTTTGCCATTGCAATTTTGAATGAAATCTAATCTTATGGTATTATGTATCTGAAGCATTATTGGATCCTCTCTATGCATCCTTGAAATATGACTTAGGAATCCAAACCAGTAGGTATTTAAAAAAGAAAAAACTTTAAAAATGACAACAATGTAATGAAGACAGTTCATTTGGAACACTGTTGGTATGTTATTTAGTGGTGGGGTATATGTTCTTATATTCCACTCGGCTGTCCTAATTTCAGTACTTCTCCCTTGGGATGCTAATTTCTAGTTTTCACACAGTTTTATTCTCTAGGGTAACTTAGTCCACTAAAACTCAAGTACTTCCAGGCTTTTTGGTATATGTACTTTATTTGATGCCAGGTCAATAGATCAAAGAGTGAATTGCTGTCAGACTAATTATTTGGCATCATCCAGGCATAACCCAGATAATTTGACTGAAAACCTCCTTTAAAACTGAACCCATCTTAACCATTTTATACCCACAGTCTATAAAACAACTACATTGGATTCAATTGAAATAGTATGAATTGTACAGTGTTCTTAAATGTTAAGAATATCTTTAAAGAGAACTTTCTTTTTAACAGCAGCTTTGAATAACTGATGTGAATGAGTTAATTTGAATAGAAGTCCTAAAGGTCAACCTAAATAACTACTGAGTGTTCCTTATTGCTTCAAAATAGTGGAAGGGAGTCATGAAAAGTTTCTTTGTTCCTGTTCTCATCCTTTCTTAGTGAAGGGTAATCAGGCTGCTTTTTATTACCCAACTGATTAAGGTAAAGGAAAAGAATTAACTGTTGCTATATAACTTGTTTCCCAGTGACCATAATTTCCCAGTGGTTGAAAATGATTTAGCAGTATAATATTATTGCTTAAAAAAACTTAAAAAGAAAGAAAACAAAAGAAAGCCATAGCAATGTCATGCTGTAATTAATTCCAAGTGGTGTCTCCTCCATCTCTGCACTCCCTGTAGCTTTATGAAACTGGTGTGTTCACTTTAGATCACTGTTCCTTTGCGAAGAATGGGAAGATACTGGGGAGTCCAGAAAGGAATAGTGATGGCTAACGAGATGGGAAACTGTATTCTTCAGTATGCCTAAGTTGGAACTGTTTAGAAAAAAGAACTTAAGGGCTGACTTAGAGCCATGAAATCATAGAGGCGGTGGAGGCAATATATCATTTGGTCTCATTGCTTAATTTGCAGAAATGGAAACTGAGACCCAAGAGGGTTACTTTACCCAGATTGCAAGTAAGATATTTGAGACCGAAGTTCATAACTTTTGAGGTGCTCCCCTCCCTGTGTAGTGTTTTTACTTACTGTCTTCAAGTGTATGACAGATGCATCCAGTGAAGCAGAACTCTGTACTAGAAAGTGCGCCACCATCAAGTGGGAGAGGTGGCTTCTGTTACCCACAGATCAGCAGTCCCCAACACCAGCCCGGCTTCTCCATCGCTGGGCCTGGGCTCCCACATGCCACATTCCCAGGTCCCAGCTGCTTCTGTAAAGAGGTGGTCAGGGCCTCCTGAGAGCACAGGTCATTATTTGCATTTAGCCAAGGACTCATTCCTTGTGTTTTTTTTTTTTTACAAGAAGTTTTTATTGTGATAAAATTTACCATTTAACCATTTTTAAGTATACAGTTTAGTGGCGTTAAGTACATCCACATTGTTGTGCTGCCATTACCATCACGTCTCCAGAACTCTTCCATCTTCTCAAACTGAAACTCTGTACCCATTAAACACTAATTCTGCATTCCCCTCTCCCTCCAGATCCTCATAACCTCTATTCTACTTTGTCTCCATCAGTTTGTCTATTCTAGGTACTTAAATAAATGGAATCATAAAAATGCTTCTCAGTGCTTGTTTTTATGTGGTTCTTGCTCATTTTTAAAAACTGCGCCCTTACTATGTGCTTTAGCATTGTACTAAGTTATGCAAGAGACAAAAGATCTGGACATTTGTAATTTAAATGTTTCTTGTTCTATTTTGTATTTCTCTACCTTCCCTAACCCTTCCCTGGATGAACTCAGTTCTTTTCATGAGTATTCAAAAGAATGAATTATTCATCCAGATTATGTTAGGGAGTCCATAGTAACAGCTAGGAAAAAAATTAAAGAGGTAAGTTGACATTATGCCTTCATATTTCCAGAGAAGGCAACACACAACTCCTTTGGCGATTCCCATTCCAGTGTCTTAACAGTCCTGGGTCCTCAAATTTTTCATAACTGTCATAAAATTTATTTTCTCCTACTTTTTTGGGGGTGGGGCTTCTTTCTAGTCTCTGAAATTTAAACATTTAGATAAGAGTGTTTGAATTCTTTTTTAAAACAAAATATTAACAAGAAACCCCAAATGGCCTCAACTGGTGTCTTTCACATCTTTTATCTTGGTTCGGTAATGCCCAACTTCATCCTGCTGGCAATAAATCTGTCATTTTATTATTTTAGCCTGATGTATTCAGATTCTTCCTTGGCTCATAGTGCAGAGTAGCTCATGCCAAAATGAAACGAGCTGAGATATGCAGGCTAAATGGGATATTGTATCATGCCAGCTGTAGTGAGGGGGACCCTGGACTCATGGACTGTCAGAAAAGGCATTAGCACACACCCCAAAGCCCACTTTGGATATCAAGTCTATGAAAAAATTTAAGAAATTTAAATCATCATCTAGAAAAAAAATTTGCAATGCACTTTTTCTTTTCTGGTCTCTTTTAGGAAAATTGGGCAATTAAGGGACAGGGTTTTTACTTTGGTTTTATTTGTTTTATTGAAAGATTAGTGTGCTTTAGGTGTTAGTGTCAGGAACTAATTAAATGAAAAATAGGACAATCTGCTAGTATTATGAGTATTGGCACTGCTCAGATGATGATTAACCTTGCAGACAGTCTTATCTCTGTTGACTAGGAGTTACAGACAGTAAAAGCCAAGAAGAATAAAGTTCCTATTAGCCAGGATGGATTTTCCTTTCAAATATATTCTCCTGTCTTATAAAATAAGCCTTTGGAGATGGGTATTTGTTTACAGTACTGAACTCCCACCCTGCTTGGATGAGGGAAGTTTTTAAATATAAAAAGGAAATCAGGAACACACAAAAGAAAAGGAAAACTAAGTTTAATTTTTGTTTTCAATTTTTATGACTTGACCAAGGGCTGGGAGCAGAACTCTTGAGATTTCTTCCAATGAGGTATCTGGAATTTTCTCCAGGGAATATTTGCTTTTGGATGGGATACTTTTCTCATCATGAATGGTCCACTTTAGTCCATATTTTTAGCTATACCACCCCTTAGGTTTTAACTTTAAACTTCTTAGTTAAATAGCACATAAGTGGAGAAAAGTGTACACATTATAAGTTTACAGCTGGATGGATTTCTGAAAACTGAACCTGCCCATCCAACCAGCACCAGGGAACTTTACCTCCAAGTCCTATTATGGTGCCAGCTTCAGTCACCACCCCTGATACGGTAAAATTACTTGTGCTTTTGAACTTCACACAAATAGAATCATATCATGTGTTTTTTGGAACCTGAATTCTTGCTCAATATTACATTTGGGAAACTCATTTGTGTAGCTGCTCCTCTCCTTAATTTTTATACATCTTAAATTTTGTTCCCCTTTATCCTCAGAAAAACACTTGGTTTTATGTGTCACCTCCTTGATTTAGTGTTGAAGGCAAAGACATGTACATAGAGTGAGACTAAGTCAGGTTCTCATGGTGGCCTTGATGGGTGAAGCCGTCCCTGCTCTTTCCTCTCTACAACAGTTACCTGTGAAGAACTGAAAGCTGGAAAGAGAGGAGGAAAAGGCAGGGTCAGTGCTCTCTGCCCTGCAGAATCTTTTCTACTTACCCCCTCCTCTCTCCAACCATTTCTTTCCCAGTCCCTTAGGACAGGCATGTGGTAGATTCCTGCTACACCGGCCAAGTTACTCCAAACAGTAGTCACTTTCCTCTCTAATTAGGGAGGGAGAAGTGAAGGGAGATGATCCAGGAACAGATTATCAGCTTTCATAAAGGGACGATTTGTTTGGCTGGTAGTTTGTTCATGATTTTTTTCCTCTTTTAGTGAGCTTGCCCATGAGAAATGAGTTAATACATGAACGATGCAGAATAAAGCCAATAGCTGTCTGAATTTGTCAACTTCAAATACTAACGCAGTATTAAGAAAATCAATAGGATGTCTCACACTTACCCAATTTATTCTTCCTGGCTTCAAAGGCAGAGAATATTTACTGAAATGAAGTCAACTTAGATTTTTAACTTATAGCCAAACTGGTTATAAAATGAGGTATTTACAAGGAAATTGTGCATTTCTTTTCTGATACTTATTACATTCAGCATTTGCATCCTGGGAGAAATTTAGGTGGAAATGAAAGGAAACAAAGTAATGGTGGTTGTATTTTAAATGCTAAAAGAGATACAGGAGTCACGGTGGTGGAATATGGTGCTAGGGCTGGTGAAAACTTTTGGCAAGTCACCTCTTAATTCCATGACACTGGCTGCCTATTTGGAAAAGCTACTCTAGAGGCAATTGCTCATTTGCAGAGCCCCCTCCATTCTCCTCTTTTTGGGGCATAAGAACCATTTGGACCTGCAATATAAAATGTTAGAGATTTTGTATATGCGGTGCTAAAATTTTCCCTAACACAGCACATAAAGGTCAAATGGAATAGGAGACTCACCCTTTGGAGCCTCAAGAGTGGGTGAGAATTTTAGTTAAAGTATTTTGGGGCAGATGCTGGTAAAGGCAGCTTGATTTGAATGATGAACTAGATGCAGGGCTGGGACTCCAACCATCAGTCCTACATCCACAGGAGGCAAGTAGGAAATTCATATAAACTTGAGTTAGTATCTGAAGACTTTCACCAAAGTACCTTTGTTTAAAGGAGAGAAAAATTCCATCCATTAAGTGTCACAGGCCAGATTACTCTGGCACCTACCATGCATCTCTAACCATCTGGAATGCCACATGGCTTGCTACTGTGTTTAGAGAATTCCTGCCTAAGGTGACCCCACTTACTTCACCAAAGGCCCCCTATGTGCTGCTGTTCTCCCTGCCTTCCAGATCCTCACCATTGCTTGACCTCACCCTACCCCTGTATTTATTTGGAGAGGCTGTAAGAGATAAACGGATCCTCAGAGCTGGAGAGGGACCTGATAGATCAGCTAGTCCATCCCTCACCCTCACCCAAAGCCACACCTGTGTCCCTCTTTGTCCTTCCTCTTCCATGGTCACCTCCTCCATGCCTCACCCCCATACCCTCTCTGGCCTTATCTCTACTAATTTTGCCCCTGGTCACTCCACTCCAGCCTCCGGGCTGAGCCCCAGTCTCCCTTGGCATGGTTCCGAATCAGGGCCTTGGGCTGGTGGTTCCCTCTGCGTGCATCATCCAGCCAGATTTCTAACTCCCTTACACCTTCAGGACTTTGCTCAAATGTCACTTTCTCAATAATCATCCCATCCAAAATGGAAAAACACCTGCCATCCTAACCTCGCCCAAACCACTCTTGCTTGTGGATATACAAAGGAGTATTTCTAGCTGTAGCACAGCCGGGGGAAGCGCTCTGAGCTCTCGCGAGACCCGCGCGGGGCTGAGCGCCAGGAAAGCCCCAGCTCAGCGCGGGAGCGGCTGCGGGGCCTGAGCTGGCGGGAGTCGGGGCCCTGGCCGCCTCAGAAAGCCCTGGAACCCCGGGCGGGCGCCAGGAGCTCGCTCCCTACCAGGGGAGCTGGTTCTACGCCTGAGCGCGGCACCTGTGCCCCCCGAGTGGCACCCGTGCCCCCGGGGCGGCCCAGGGGCCAAGATCTGTGGGTGGCGGCGTCACGCCCGCCCCGCCACGCCCGCCGCGGCTCCAAGAGCGATGCCCACGGGCCCTCCAAGCCCAGGAGGGGCTGAAAATGGTGGAAAAGGATCAAGATGGGGGCCGCAGACTGTCACCTCGGTGACAGAGTCAGCTGGACAGGGTCGCTGGACAGGTAATAGAACAAATGATGCTGGGTTAATGAATTTCCTTAAAAAAGCAAAGAAAAAGAAGTGAATCCTGGGCTCAAGGCACACACACTTAAATTTTTGCCAGCTATTGCCAAATTTTATCTTTCAGGAAGATTCTAATTTACATTCTCACCAACAGTGTATGTATTTCTTACTTGAAACCCTTGATAACGCTGCATCACGGTGAAAAAAACAAAACAAAGAAACCGTGCAGACCCCACAGGCAAAGCCTCATATATGAATCGCTGTTGTTTTAGCTTATACATCATTGGCTGCTATTGAGGATGAACAACGTCTACATCTTTATTGATAATTTGTGATTTTTCACTTGTAAGAATTCTTTCATTGATTCCTTAAAAAAAGGTATCAAATTATATAAGCTCTTTATGAATTAACCATTCTTCAGCAGTACACACTGCACCCAGCTTACGTTCTATCCTATTTATGGTGGTTTTCTGGTTGTAAAAGTTTTAAATATGTAGAAGGTTGACTGTGTCAACTATGTCAACCTTTTCTTGTGTAGGATTTAATTCTGTTGTCATGCTTAGAGAAATGCCTCTCACCTCTCCTCGTATGAATATCAATCCACTTTTCTTATGTTTTCCATGATTTTTATCATTACTTGAAATATTTATTTAGTCGAGTGTATTCATGCTTAATACATATGATTAAGCAAAGGTTAATTGCTTTCTTGGCAAAGGTTAAAAGCTGCAAAAGTGGCTACAATTCTTTACCCTTCTTTACCCTCTTGGCAATGACATTGCAGTTTGGCCCCTGCAGAAGTGGAATCAGTTTCCCCACCTCTTACGTATGGGCTTAATGGAACAGAGTGTGAGTGACGATTTGAGTTCCAAGATGAGGCCTTAGGAGACCCTTTATGCTTGCCTTCTGCTTGCTCTCTTGGAACCCTGTAGGGCCACCATGTGAACGAGCCTGCTGGGTGAAGAGCCACATGTGGCCTGTTGCTCTCTTTCACTTGAGCTGACAGCAGGCCGTCTTGCAGAGATGTGAGTGAGATTATTTTAAACTAGCTGGTATGGAGCCAAATATCAGCCTCGTGGTAGCTGACAGAAGCAGACACACAAATGAGCCAGGCAAGACCAGAAAAAGAGCTATTCTGCTGAATCCATCCCAAATCTCTGATGCACAGAGAAGTGAACCATGTATGTGGTGGTTTTTAAGCCCCTAGCTGATGTATGATTTAGGGAATCCCATTTTATTTATCCAAAGAGCAGCTTGTGGCCTACCATCATTATTAAAGAAATAGCTCGTCTTTGCTCTACTAGTTTGAAATGTCAACTTTATTCCAAATATATTGTCTTGGTCCTGCCTCTGGTTCTTAATTATGTTCTATTGATTTGCCTGTCTTTTGTGTAATAGCTTGATCGATGATAGGTTTCAGTATCTGGATGGATAGGACTTCCTTGATTATACTTTTCTCCCACAATTCTTAGCAGTTCTTTTTTTTTTATTCTTCCAGATGAACCTGATGTGATTTTCCATATTCCTCTGAAAATATTTGTTGGGCTATTGATTAGGATGTTATTAAACATATGATTTGAAAAGTCTTGACATCTAAGAAGTATTGAGCTCTTTTATCCAGAACACAGTATTTTGAATCATTTGAGTCATATTGTCCATATTTTAGAAAAAAAATTATAGTTCTCCTCATGAAGCTTTCTCACATTTCTTATAACATTTCTTTTATATTTTTAGTTTCATATTAAAATGGAATTTTAGTTCATTAGATTTTATAATTGATTATTTTTTGTGTTTAGGAAAACAGTTCACCTCAATGTATTAATTTTGTTACTGACCACTTTACTGAACTCTATGTTTTTTTATTAAGGTGTCATTGATATATAATCTTATGAAGGTTACAGATGAGCAACATTGTGGTTTCAGCATCCACGCATATTATCAAGTCCCCCCCCCCATGCCCCATTGCAATTACTATCCATCAGTGTAGTAAGATGGTATAGAGTCATCTTGTCTTCTCCATGCTGTACTGCCTATATTATGTGTCCTAATTATAATGCCCCTTAATCTCCTTCTTCCCTCCCCACCCATCCTCCCCAACACCTCCCCTTTGGTAACCGCTAGTCCCTTCTTGGAGTCTGTGAGTCTGCTGCTGTTCTATTCATTCAGTTTTGCTTTGTTGTTAAACTCCACAAATGAGTGAAACCGTTTGGTGCTTGTCTTTCTCTACTTGGCTTATTTCACTGAGCATAATACTCTCTAGCTCCATTCATATTGTTGCAAATGGTAGGATTTGTTTTTTTCTTCTGGCTGAGTAATATTCCATTGTGTATATGTACCACATCTTCTTTATCCATTCATCTACTGATGGACACTTAGGTTGCTTCCATATCTTGTAAATTCTGCTATTGTAAATAGGGCAGTGATAAACAAAGGGGTGCATATGTCTTTTTGAATCAGGGATCTTGTTTTCTTTGGGTAAATTCCTAGGAGTGGAATTACTGGGTCAAATGGTATTACTATTTTTATTTTTTTGAGGAACGTCCATATTGCTTTCCACAATGGTGTCCTTTGCTGTACAGAAGCTTTTTAGTTTGATGTAGTCCCATTTGTTCATTTTTGTTTTTGTTTCCCTTGCCTGAGGAGATGTGTTCAGGCAAAAGTTGCTCATTTTTATATTCAAGAGATTTTTTCCTAGGTTTTCCTAGGAGTTTTATAGTTTCATGACTTATATTCAGGTCTTTGATCCATTTCAAGTTTAATTTTGTATATGGAGTTAGACAATAATCCATTTTCATTCTCTTATATGTAGCTGTCCAGTTTTGCCAATACCAGTTCTTGAAGAGCTGTCATTTCCCCATTTTATTTCCATATCTTCTTTAGTGTATATTAATTGGCTGCATGTGTGTGGGTTTATATCTGGGCTCTCTATTCTGTTCTATTGATCTGTGGGTGTGTTCTTGTACCAATACCAAATTGTTTTGATTACTGTGGCTTTGTAGTAGAGCTTCAAGTTGGGAGTGTAATCCCCCTAGCTTTATTCTTCCTTCGCAGGATTGTTTTGACTACTTGGGGTCTCTTGTCATTCTATATGAATTTTAGAACCATTTGTTCTATTTTGTTGAAGAATGCTGTTGGTATTTTGATAGGTATTGAATTGAATCTGTAGATTGCTTTAGGCAGGATGGTCATCTAACAATATTCTTCCTATCCCTAAGCACAGGATGTATTTCCATTTAATGGTGTCTTCTTTAATTTATCTGATGTACTTTTTAGGGTATAGGTCTTTCAGCTCCTTGGTTAGGTTTATTCCTAGGTATTTTATTCTTTTTGATGCAATTGTAAATGCAATTGTTTTCCTGATTTCTCTTCTAGTTCATTGTTGGTATATAGGAATGCAACAGATTTCTGTCTATTATTTTGTATTGTACAACTTTGCTGAATTCAGCTATTAATTTCTAGTAGTTTTGGGGTGGATTCTTTAGGATTTTTTATGTACAGTATCATGTCATCTGCAAGCAGTGATGTTTTAAATTCTTCCTTACAAGTCTGGATGCCATTTATTTCTTTGTGTTGTCTAATTGCTGTGGCTAGGACCTCTAATACTGTGTTGAATAAAAGTGAAGAGAGTGGGCATCCTTGTCTTATTCCAAGTCTCAGGGGAAAAGCTGGAAGCTTTTCACTGTAAAGTATGATGTTGGGTGTGGGTTTGTCCTGTATGGCCTCTATACCCATTTTATTGAGAGTTTTTATCATGAATGCATGTTGAATTTTTTCAAATGTTTTTTCAGTATCTATGGGGATGATCATATAATTTTTGTCTTCCTTTTTGTTGATGTGGTGTATGTGCTGATGGATTTTTGAATGCTGTACCATCCTCACTTCCCTGGAATAAATCCCACTTGATCATGATAGGTGAACTTTTTTATGTATTTTTGAATTCAGTTTGCTAATATTTTGTTGAGTATTTTTGCATCTATGCTCATCAGGGATAATGGTCTATAATTTTCTTTTTTTGTGGTGTCTTTGCCTGGTTTTGGTATTAGAGTGATGCTAGCCTCATAGAATGAGTTTGGAAATATTTCCTCCTCTTTTACTTTTTGGAGGACTTTAAGAAGGATGGTATTAGGTCTTCTCTAAATGATAAAATTCTGTGGTGAAGCCATCTGGTCTGAGGATTTTGTTCTTATGTAGTTTTTGATCACCAGTTAAATTTTATTGCTGGTAATTGTCTGTTTAGATTTTCTGTTTCTTCCTGGGTCAGTCTTGGAAGGTTATATTTTTCTAGGAAGTTGTCCATTTCTTCTAGATTATTCAGTATTTTAGCATATAATTTTTCATAGTATTCTCTAATAGTTCTTTGTATTTCTGTAGTGTTCGTAATGATTTTTCCTTTCTCATTTCTGATTCTGTTTAAGTGTGTACACTGTCTTTCTTTTTCTTGATAAGTCTGGCTAAGGGTTAATCTATTTTGTTTATTTTATCAAAGAACCAACTCCTAGTTTCATTCATTCTATTGTTTTATTCTTGATTTTATTTATTTCTGCTCTAATCTTTATTATGTCCCTCCTTCTCCTGACTTTTGGCCTCAGTGCTTCTTCTTTTTTCTAGTTTCATTAATTGTGAGTTTAGACTGTTCAATTGGGATTGTTCTTTCTTGTGGTAAGACTTCAGTGCAATATACTTTCTTTTTGGAACTGCCTTTGCTGCATCCCAGAGGTTTTGTGGTGTTGAATTGTTTTCATTTGTCTCCATATATTGCTTGATTTCTGTTTTTATTTGGTCATTAACCCAGTGATTATTTAGAAGCATGTTGTTAAGCCTCCATGTTTGTGGGCTTTTTATTTTCTTTGTGAAATTTATTTCTAGTTTCATACCTTTGTGGTCTGAGAAGCTGGTTGGCACAATTTCAATCTTTCTGAATTTAGTGAGGCTCTTTTTATGGCCTAGTATGTGATCCATTCTTGAAAATGTTCCATGTACACTTGAGAAGAACATGTATCCT